AATCAGGAACATGGCATCAGCAGTATCATGTGAGGGACCATCGCCCTCAAATTCTTGCTATAATAATACATTAAAATTAATTAAAATTAATATAAATAAAAACTACATTACAATTACTTACCAAATATTTTTCAATACAACGTTTCATACGTCTTTCGGTACACTGAACGTTTTGTAATCGGGGGTTTAGCAGGATGTCGCATACCACAAGCATGAACGCACAATGTGCGCTTGTCAAAGTCGGGACCGCCACCGCCGAAAAGGCTGTTCTTGCGATTGTGTACACCCAAAGTGTACCTTTATTATCTTTTTCGAAAAGCATGCGATAGCAATTGCTTACAGCTTGACTTTCCTTCCAACTCACAATGGCGGCTGCAGCCGCGTTACTTTTTAAGGGAGGCAGCTTTTCACGCCCAAAAACACGCCAAACCGCAGACCTAACGCTTTGCAAGACAGCACCGCGATTATTCTTAATCTTTTGCAGGAGCTATGAAATAAATTAAAAACGATAATTCCTAATTAAAAACGATTATTTATAATTACAAACAATATATGCTTTAATTTAAAAATATTATCTGTATAGTATAAATTATAGTAAATAAATGTGTTAAAAATTATAAATGATTATAAACGATTGTAAACGAACATAACAGATAAGCAATACATAATTAAGAAAGAGAACATTACCTGACTCAACCAATTGCTATGATAATGGTTTGTGAAGTTATTTGAACTTATGTTAGACATAAAATCTGGGAATATTTCTTCCATGTAAGCCTTAAAGGTTTCCTTTACTACAGCCTGAGTGGGATATACATGAGATGGAAAGAGGCATTTTGCAACACCAGTAAATGCTTCCTATAGAAATTCCAACTTAGAGTTCTGATTACATCTATATATATCGACATATATTGAATACTCACGTCCAAGACCTTCTGAGAAAGTTCATTTTCAGTGTCACGTCGCTGCTGTTTTACTTCAGCCTTGATTTCTTATACATCTTTATTGATTCTTTTAAGTAAACGGTATAGCTGCTGGTGCTGTGTAAATAGCTTCTCATCCACCCACCGGCGGTATTGGTTCGAACGTTCTTCAATTCAGTTTTTTAAAAAAAAAAAAAAAAAAATTCCTTTCAAAAAAAAAAAAAAAAAAAAAAAAAACAAAATAAAATAATTAAAATATTTGTTATTTAAAAAAAAAATTTTAAAAAAATAAATATCAAAAAAAAAAAAAAGAAATTAAAAAAAAAAATAAAAAAAAATTAATAAAAAATAAAAAAACCCCTTCCAAAAAAAAAAAAAAAAAAAAAAAAAATGCACAAAATGCGACATCTAAGAAAAATGAAAAAAAAAGGAACTTATATACCATCACGATCACGATTGCATGGCTCATTTTGATTGGAAGATTGTCGAACTCGTGATCAGAATCTTTCTTGTGATTACGATCGATTACGATCAATAGATCGAGAACAAGATGGAGAACGAGATGAAGTATCTTGTCGAGATGGAGTATCTTGTCGAGAGTAAGAGGTTTGTCATTAAAGAGATGAATGATGTGTTTGGGTAGTATGTCCTGATTTTGTTTGTTTTTCTTTCATTTTCTCAAATATATTCTGTACACTTTTAATGCTTTTGTATAAATCGGATGAATCACTGTTACTATTTGGAGAACCAGGAGTTGGAGGCACCAATTGTAAACAGGTTGTATTGGTAAGAATAGAGGTAGGAGAATGGGTTGTATTGGTAGGAATAGAGGTAGAAGAACGGTTGTATTGGTGGGAATAGAGGTAGTAGAACGGGTTGTATTGGTAGGAATAGAGATAAGAGAACGGATTGTAATGATAGGAGAATAGGTTGTATTGGTAGGAGAATGAGTTGTATTGGTAGAAGAGCAGGTTGTATTGGTAGAAGAGCGGGTTGTATTGGTAAATGTATTGGTAGGAGAAGTTAAGTTGGGCGAAGTGTTATTGATAAGATTTTCAAAAGGTGATATGTTATTAGTATTGTTGTTATCTATTTCAAAAATTTTCAAAAATGTTTTACCTTTTGATTCTCAAAGAGTTATATTTATATATCTATAAAATTTAAGAAATAGATAACTGATGATGCAACTTAGTCATTATATAACAAAAAAAAAAAAAATACATCATACGTATAGTAATAATTTATCGAGTCTAAGAGAGATGATGTTAATCGTTATGTAGCAAAAAAAATAAAATAAAAATTTCATTTGTAAACATACATGTAATGACAATTTATTTATCTAAATAGATGAGTATTAATTATTATGTAGCAAAAAAAAAAAAAAAAGTGAAAGTATACTTATCTTATTTGTTGTTTTGGTCATTTGCATATAATGACGATAAATATAATTACATGTATAAAACAATTTGCTGAGTTTCTCGCTGCGATTTGAAATATAACGAATAATATATACATAATATACTTTTTGTTTATAATTTTACATCATATAAATAATTATACGCTTTGTTTTAATTGAAGAGAAGAATTGCTAAAATCGATATAAATCGATAAGGGTCATTAAAATCTCTAAATCTCTAAATCATTGTTCGCTGCTACATCCTTTATTCTTTTATTACCATTTCTTACTTTGTTTTTACAATCCAATATATTACTAATTCATACTTTACTCTTTCTCTTTTGCTTTACTTTTTTTTCATTTTCTCTTTCATTTCATCTCTTTATTTATTTCTTTAAATCCAAGAAACAGAATTCTGTTTAGGTTCCGGTGTTCTGGCTCCCCACTTTTATTTTTTTGCCATCTTTTTTCACTATTTTCGCTATATATCGATATATATCATTAACATACATAATTTCTCCTATTAGCTCTCTCATAATCGTTCATATCTATTTATAATCTCCTTTTATATTTCATTATCTAACATTCTTTCGCTTTCTTTAATCATCCTTTCTCTTTCTCTCATTATTTTTCTTTATTCCTATCTTCTAAAAATGCACTGGCAGTGTAAGCATTGTAATTGAAATTTTTCAAAATTATTCACATTAATTCAACATATTTCACAAAGTCACTCTTATCCCCAAGAAATATCGAATCAAGACATTTCAGCTGACGAATTGGATGATAATATTTGGGAGCTTCCAGAATACAGTTCTTCAGAATATGACTCCAATGATTCTATAATTTTTGGAGGTAAATTTTTATAATAGATGTAAGTACCGTAAATTCTCGAAATAGCAGGCATGAGCGTTATTTCAAATTTTAGCCCGAATAAAGCTTAATTCGGGCCAAAATTCAAAATAATGCTCATGCCCGCTATTTCGAGAATTTACAGTAATAAAATGTTATATAATGATATATATTATTTAGAACGAAGACATATCAGCATCATCTCATTCCGATATGGAAATAGACTCTCCTTCGGCAAATGTATCCTCTTTTGCAGAATGTGATCTTGAAGATTATGAGGGTGCTTCGTTAGAAGATGCTTTTGATGACTTGCAAAATCTACCAACTATTAAATGGCCCAACGAAGCTTATCGTGAATTTATGGAGATAGTTAATAAGCACCAACTATCTAATTCGGCTGGTGATTCTTTTATAAAATTCTTCAATAAATTTTCCAAATTGGACATATCACCATTACCTCCGTCAACAAGAATTAAAAGGAAATTTCTGGACAATTCTTCTATCCTTACATGAATTTCAAAGAAACTCTGATTAAAACGTTTCAAAACGTTGAATATACATTATACTATTGACCAATAATCAAAACAATAAAATCCCTAATAATGGTCGATAGTATAAATCAATCATTGGTTCATCATTATGAAAATAAAATTGAAATAATAGATGGTGCTGAACATCGAGTATTTGAAGAACAGTATAATTGTAATTGGT